CCAATTCTTTATGTTTCTGAATCTGCCTTTGTCTATAAACATTGTTCATCTTTATCAAGATCCCACGCATGAAGGCTTTACCTGCATCCCATACCATTGATATTGATGTACCCTTATACATATTTAAAGCAAAATAATCCTTTAAGCACTCCTTTAATTTTTGAACATTTTTTTCTTGTTTAAATAAGTTCTCATTCACCCTCCAGGATCTCCTCTCCTCTTTTTCGACAACCAATTCCATCCAAACTGGACTATGATCCGTCAGTGACCTAGGAAAATTTTTTACATTCTTTACCCTATTATATAGGTCTGTTGTAATCAAGAAAAAATCAATCCTTGAAAAAGATTGGTGTCTATCTGAGAAGAAGGTAAAATCTCTCTCCTCTTGGTTACGTTCACGCCAATAATCCCTCAACTCCCAGTCCTCTTTCAAGTCAAAAAAGGCTTTAGGTAATTTAGCCTGTTTGAAAAAAGTAGAAGAACCTTTTTTGTCCTTTTTTGTATCTAAAACACCATTCCAATCTCCCATTAATATCACAGACCTATAGTCCAGCGAAGTTATTTTCTGATGTAACAATCTATAAAATTGTTCCTGTTGCTGATTTGGTGCGTACAATCCCACTATAAGTATTTTCTTACCATATAGACCAAGTTCAATCATAACATATCTTCCTTGAGGATCTGATTCTACCAGGCAGGCTGGTAGACTTTGCTTAACATAAATAACCGCACCCCCTTTTTTCCCAGGGGCAGGAGATGCAAAATGAGATCCCAAGCGAGCATTAGCTAAATATTTTTGGTCTTTAAGTAAGATATGAGTTTCCTGTAAGCAAATAATATCATTATTATGTTGCTTTAAATAATAAAAAATTTTCTTTCTTTTCTGCGGGGAATTGAGGCCATTAACATTCCAGGTCAGGAACTTTGCCATCTCCCTTGACCAGGAGCCTGGAGAAAACTGCCTGAAGATCTGCCACTGAAGAATGTGTTGAAGAACTTTTGGGTCTTGCTCCTCCCACCGACATTGAAACACTCTCATGAGAAGATTCTTTAGCTTCTTTCTTCTGTTGTTCCTTTTCCTTACGTTTATGTGCTGCACGGGTCATTCTCTGCTCTTTAACCTCTGTTTGGCGTAGCCATTCCACCTGTGGTTTTCCAGCAGCCATCAAACCTAGTCCTTCAGACTGCTGTTCGACCTCTTTGCCACCCAGAGCTTTCCGAATCATAGATGGAGATGAGCCTGTTCCCAGGACCGTATTATAAAATTCTTTGGCTTTAGCAACCGTATTAAGTCTGTAACGTGTCCCCGCATGGCTCAAAACAATACCCATCGGAATCTCCCATCTGAATGGCATCAATCTTGTTTTAAGTTCATTAGTTAAAAAAGCAAAGTCTTTTCTATTTCTTAAAATTTTAGATGGGATTTCCTTTAGAATGATGACATCTTGGGCAGCAATCTGGAACCTCTTATTATAAAAAGCTTGTATAATCTCATTACGCACTCTTTGAGAAGTAAATCACCACATCTCTTGGCAAATTCTTTTGTTTCGCAATCCAAGAATTAACTCTGTAAATTTTTTCCACTTCTCTACGTAATCCATCTTTATCCCTATTCAGAGCAACAGCTAGATCATTCATCACCATCTCCATCAGGTCTTGATTCATGTCTTCTTTAAGACCCCTAATTCTCAAAGCATATTCCATTTGCCTATACTGAGACATAAGAATATCCTCTTGTGAAGTTTCCATCTTTTTTTCCATATCTTGAAATTTATACTCAAGGAGGTCTACTTTCTCTGCAACTTCTTCCACTCTAGAATCCAACTTCACGACCACAGAAGCCAATCCTGATAAAGCTGTAACTATGTCTTCCCTCAGAATAATATTATTCTCCACTAAAAGCTCCTTCATTTCCTCTTTAGTTTCAGATTTATTCTGTTTAAAAAGGTCCTTCATTTCCTCTTTACTTTCAGACTTGCTCTGTTCAAGAAGTTGCTTCATTTCCTCCCTGATTTGAGCTACAGCATTTCCCATTATATCTTTAATATCTTGTGCAGACAAGGCTGGCAAGGGAGGAGAAGATGGAGGTGTAACCTTAGATTGCAGTACTGGTGGTGTAACTTTAAGTTGTTGTTGTACAGTTGCAATTACAGGAGAAGAAACCACCTTAGAGACTATAGAAGCTGGTTGTCTCTTTGAAGCCATTTTTTAAAAAGTCTTATTCTCTCTTTCTTTCTTCTTAAAAAAAAGATACTAAAATCCTTAAAATTAAAAAAGGAACCAGGGAGAGTGCAAAAAAAAAAAAAAAACAACTTCCAAAGCATTTTAAAAGAAAAAGGAAAAAAGAAACTTGAAAGAGAAAAAAACTGTGCTCATTTAAGTCCGTTCTTTCTTTCCGGAAAGGAAAAAAAAAGCACTTTCAAAACGCCATTTTACTTTCACTCTCACTCTCCACCGAAAAAAAAACAAAAGGAAAAAAAAAAGATGGAGAAGATGGAGGTGTAACCTTAGATTGCAGCACTGATGGTGTAACTTTAAGTTGTTGTTGTACAGTTGCAGATATTCTATTATTAATAGAATATTAATAATAGGGATATTCTATTATTAATAGAATTTAGAATTTTAAGCTTGATAAATTAATGGTAAAATTTATATTTGATAAATCAGGAAATCAGTGGAGTCATATGACAACATTGACATTGATAGTTATTATATGACTTTGAGGAATGTGCAGCACTTACCTTAATGAAACATGTTCCTTTTTATTGTCATTTTACTATTTTTATTTTACTTTTTTTTAGGCTAGGAATGAAAAGACTTACTCCTTGTGGCCACAAGCCTGTTTCCTCTTATTCTGCTTTTCCCCATTCTCCTTGGCAGAAGAATACTTATTTTACCATTACAGGCAATACAGTTGTGGTTGTCATCTTCATTCAAAGTGCCTGAAAAATGAAGAGGGACAATGCATATATTTAATATACTGGAATTATTATGCACATAAATTTCTGTGAGGTTTCTTTAAATTTTGGGGGGCAATAATGTTATAAACATCTGAACTAAATACTGTTTAGGTCCACCTAAGTATGCAGTGAATTACGTTAGGTGATCTTAATGAAGCAACTCATACAGCACCAATTGAATAATGTACCTAAAAGCTCCATTAAAAATTAAAATGGAAAGGATCAGGATAATGGCTCAGCATCTGCTAAGTACCTTCTGTGAATATTTTAATATTTCATCTGAAATCAAACAAGATAATGGTACTTGCCAACTTTGCCTGTGGTTTTCAGCTGTCATGAAGATTGATTTATATGCTCATCAAGGCTTGGCATAGCCCAGAGATATGAATATGAATGGATCTAAAACAATTTGTTTGTCACCATATGCATATTTAGTCTCTATTATAATATCTGTCTCATTCCAGAAGGTTTGAAAATATCTATTTAATCACATGAGATGAATCTCTTGAATTGTTGCTTTATTCCAATTACTGCTTAATTCATTATCTTTTTCTAAGTGGGTGATTGATAATTCTGAGAGACACAGATCTAACAGATCTGCACTTTAAAATTCATCCCATTCCTTGCCATGGTTCATTTTCATTAGTACACTATAATAGAACAAGTACTATTGGTGTTTTATACCATGAGATATCCTTGGAAAATGTATATCTCATTTACTGTCCAAAAATTGTGACTTTGAACTCATCATTTGAATAGATTTCTCAAAATAATAGGATCATTTGATTCTGGATTAACAGTTGTCTTCTTATATTTTATAATATAGTAATATATATAATTCTTATTTTTACAACATATGTTTATGAAGCAATAGAACTGCTTCAAAAACTATATTATCCATAAAGTTTCCAAATATGAATGATAACAAGGCTTAGAATTGGTTAAAAATAAAATAATATAGGAACAATAAAACAGAATATATGTAGTTCAGAACAGAACAATTTTTGGTGTGCTCTGATCTTGGCAGTTTCCTTGTAGATACAACCTGATAATGAAACAGCTGCAGGAAAGCCATCAAGTCCAGAAACTAGTAAAAACCCAATAATACAGATACAATAAAAGTAGTATGTTGAGGAACACACAAACACAAAATCAGATCATCATTCATGTAAGTTCATATATTGCCCTGCCTTTACCATTTGCTGATGATAAAGCCATATTATAAATACTTTCCTGAAGCCAGCAGAATCAGAAACAAATGTATCCATTGTAAAATGTGATAGTCTTATAAATAGGTTTTTATTGTATATATCTAGAACAAAAATCTTTGTGTTGGAACATCATGGATTATTTTTATGCCAGAAATTTGTAACATCAGTTCCCACATCAAGAAATTCCTATGTAGGAACTGTGTAACTTGAAGAATTTGTACATGTAGAATGAATTTTTTCAAGAGACAAACTTTGTCTGAAGATTGACTAAAAAGAATTTGCATAATATCCTTCTGCCACAACTGGAAACACTTTTTAAAAAAGTCTTTAAAGAAATGGCTGAATAAAAATAGGTGATCTCAGTTCTTTTAAAGGCCTTTCTTGGTCCTACCAGTTGAAATGTTCTGATAACATTGTATATGTTAAAATAAAATTATTCAATATATTTTTGTATCCATCGTGCCAGCTACCTCTTTGGTAAATTATCCTTTTTGGCATTTATTTGCAATGTTTGCAAGCTTGATAAGTCCTTTACTTATCTTTGTTATCATATAGTAGAAAAACAAGTACAGGAAGGTGCTGCAGGTCCATAATTTCTAGAAAGATAGTCTTTGAAAACATATGGAACAAATGTCTATCCTTATTATGAATACAGATTCTGAAAGGGTTTCCTGGTTCTGACATGTGGTTCATGATTTGGAAAGAAGCCTCATGACACAATACGCACACAAATACTGTAACTTACCATTCTAAAAACGTGGTGCAGGGAATTGTTTTATTTTGTTACTATCTTCATCCATTTGTTCTTGAGGTCTGTTGATAGATTTGCTTTGTGATACCTAATATGATTGAGAAAACCAAAAGCCAACATCAAATAAATATGTTCCTTAGGTTTTAAATGATTGTGCTAGTGGTCTGGTTGGAAATCCAATTATTTTCTGGTGCTGGTACCAACATGCGGGAAGATGGCCTTGACACAGAGAGAAATTTGTTGCCAAGGCAACAAACAAATAAATATGACTTAAGCTGATACAAAGGTAGAGATTTATAAAATATCTCTAAGACAGGCACCTCCTAATTCAGATAAAAGAGGAGTACATTTAGATTTGCAAGAAACTGCTACTAAGAAAAATAACGTTGGGTCCATATAGCATCTGTTTCTTGATCTGATCTGGTCTACCTTGTAAAGTTGATATATTTCTATACTCAGATTTCTGATAAGAGCTATCCAAAAGAACCAGGAGTTTCCTCTTCCACAGGAGACATGGATTGTTTTTGATAGTCTTGCACAGGTAGACATATTTTCTGCAATAATTGAAGTATAAATTTTAACTTTCTAGTAATTAAAAACAGGTTACAAAGGAAAAGGGAGAGAGTAATAGACATTCCTCAAAATAAAAACCACATATGATAACTCTTTTGTGTAATGGCAATATAAATTACAATATTTAAAGATTTATCAAACAACTGTGGCTCTTGTATGAGGGGGAAAATAGCCATCCAACCTATCTAAACTAACCAGAGTAACAATTACCTGAATAGAAATGATTTAATTCAAGAAAATTGCAGCTTTTCTTGAATTAAAGGGAAACTTTGAAAGAAATGGTGAAAGATACTCAATCACTTGAAAGGTTGCCTTTCCATTCCTTCTGCAGGTTTAGCTGTCTCTAATCTGACAGTTCCCTACTTTAACCATCTTTTTCAAAGATTCCCTTTAATTCAAGAAATTATTTGAATTATTTACAATGATTCCAATAAAAATCCCCATCTTAAACTTACAATTTGATTGAGAAGAAAAACAGCAGGGAGAATTTTAACTGTTCATGTGTTTAATATATTTTATTTGGTCCTCATTCCCTGTATTTTACAATGTTTACTATTAGGAATACATAGCCTGGGAAATACCTTTAGTCTTTGGATAGCTTTAGTAAACTGGACTATCCTAGGAATATTTTTTTTATATATGATAGAATTTACCTAAACATGAAGTAGCTGTGACAGCTAAATGCAATCTTCATGTACAGTGATCTTATGATGCAATGGTATATGGCAGTAATGGCAAACCTTTTAGAGACCGAGTGCCCAAAAACCTGCCCCCCATCCTCACTCCGCCCTGCCCATTGGGCCACTCACCACCTCCACTGCCCGCCACAGATCACCCAGGCAGCCCAGCAACGCCATGGTGGCCATGCCCTCCGCCCATGCCCCGCAGCATCATCTGCATGCGACGGGGCGCAAGAGCAGAGTTTTGTCCCCGCTGCCCGGCTATCATGACCTTGGCTGTGCTTCTTCACATGGGCCGTGCCCAGGGGCAACTCTCCTCCGGGAAGGCTGCTGGTGAGGAGGGGGCCATGGGAGGAGGCAGGGCTGGGGAGATGGTGTGTGGCCCACAGAGAGGGCTCTGAGTGCCGCCTCTGGCACCCGTGCCATAGGTTCGCCACCACTGGTATATGGGAATTACCTTAGGAAACAGGAAGAAGAGCCATAAACTAATCAACTGTCAGATTAGAGACGGCTAAACCTGGAGAAGGAATGGAGAGGAAACAGTTTTCCAGTCAGGGAAGGATCTCCAGGGCTTTTTTTTCTCATAAAACGCCCAGAACGGAGTTCCGGCACCTTTTCTGGATGGAACCTTGTAGGGTAAGAAAGGTGGGTTATATGACGTGTGTGAGTTCCAGCACCTTTTTTTTTTTTTTTTTTTAGAAAAAAAGCACAGAAGACCTCTATCTATGCAGCTAGTTTGCAGGATGCCTTATGTCATCTCAGTGATACAGCTGCACTTAATTCTCATAGTTCACACTCAGTTTCCCTGGAAATTTAGGATAGGGAACTGAGGCTAAATGTGAAGGTGAAGGTATGTGGGATGACTTTGAGAGACAGGAAGAAGAGCTACAGATTAGAGGCAGCTGAAGCCATAGAAGAAATGGGGTATGGCAAAGATCTCAGAAGGGAATTCATTGTAAAAGGTGAGGGAGGAAGACATGTGCTTTTAAAATTGCAAGATTTTGTTAATGTAACCTTACAATAAATATAGAGTGGTTATTCCTGTCTGGATTATTTCACAAAGCTGGTGTATATTTCTTAATTCATGATACTGATATTTCTAATACTCACCCTCATGCCCTGCTGAGAACTTCCATAGACACCTATTTAGTTTTTTATTAGATATAAAATGTTACCAAAGAGAGAAGCAGCCTGAGATTTTAGATTCAAAGATCCCTCAGATACAGGCACTATGGTCAATGATCAAGGTTGACAGGAATGGTAAGCCACAATATCCAGTGAGTCTTCTTTATCTCTGTGCAAGGAGGACTTGGATGTGATCAAACAAGGTGATGTTAATGATCCAGCAGAAAATTACACTTTATTGCAAAAATGGAATAAGATCTGTTGATAGGTCATTGCATAGTTTATAAATGTGTGAAAAAATTATGAATGCATATATATTTCTAGTTGGCACATAGTAAACTGAAGTCTCAATTTTACATTTTAATAATAGCAATGATGAAACTTTGCTTTTTTTGTCTCATAGTCTTATTAGACTCTAGAAACACAAATGTCATAACTTCATCAACTTGACCTTGGTACCGAGTTTATAAACTGGAGTGGATTAACTGACCAACCCATTCACCTCCACTAGCCATTCTGCAATTTTCTATGTACATCCATTTTCTATGGACTTAAAATCATTTGTTAAGTGACCGAAGGTACAATGGCACTGAAAAAAGTGATGCATAACCATTTTTCACACTTATGTCTGTTGCAGCATCCCCATGGTTATGTGACCAAAATTCAGATCCTTGGCAACTGATTCATATTTATCACAGTTGCAGTATCTCAGAATTACGTGATTACTTTTTGCAACCTTCTGACAAACAAAGTCAATGGGGAAGCCAGATTCACTTAACCATTGTAACAACTGCAGTGATTCACTTAACAACTATTGCAAGAAAGGTGGTAAAATGGGGCAAAACTCACTGTACAACTGTCTCACATAACAACAAAAATTTTGTGCTCAATTGTGGTAAGTTGAGAACTACCTATATTTATTTTTTCACTCAAATGTGAAGGCTGTTCAAAACTGCAAGACTTAAATATGGCCCTTAAAAATGCTTTTCATCTAGGCCCTCTGCACTAATTTCAAAGCAAGTTATGCGAGTTATGCTTTGGTATGTAAATGGGGTAAACTGGGGAAAAAGAAAACATGTTACAATTATACTTTGTATCTGTTAACAATTAGAAATAATGCATTATTTTTTTTAAATGGAAGTTATTTTGTAACTACAGACTAATAGGTCAATTCATTTTCATTTATATCAGTTCTAAAAGAAGCTGGAAATCATTCTTTTTTATTTTTTTGCTATTTATTATTCTGTTGCATACCTGTCCTCTTTTTTTCCCTTTACTCTCTTTCCTTCTATTCATTGTCTTTGATTATTAGTTCTTTTTTGTCTTAACAATTAATCAAATTATTTAAAAATAGTAACTTTGTATCTGGAAACTAATGGCTGAGACATCATCATCATAATATAGCCTCTGTTTGATTTCTTCTCAAAGTTGACATGCAAGACAAAAATAAATGCATCCAGTATCCAGAAAAAATACGTTTGGAAAGTAAATCAAGATGGAAGTTCAAATAGGAAAAAAAAACCATTAACCTATTTACAATAATAAATTGGACCAGATATAGCTGTATCTGGGACCAAGAGAAATCCTTTACCATATCTTCTCTGTTCTTAGGTGGTGAGTTCCCAACATTGCCATATAGAGCCAAGTCAAAGCACAACTTTTTTCTTGCTAAACTGAAAGATTGGGATGCACAAGCATTTTCTTTGTTATACCAAGCTTGTTTTTCATCTCTATTATCAACAAGGAAGTATCATAAAATGTGTAGGGGAATATTTGGAACATGAAATTTGTGTCAGAGTAAAATTTTTTCCTTCTGTTGTCTTACTTCTGATAGAAGTTTTCTTTAAACGCTGTTTACTAACACTTAGTATTTGTAATATAGTTGCAAGCAGAACTAAACATGTAATTTCTGCCTTTTTAAAAATGACCCTTACTGCTACAATGATTATGCATTGGGACTAGAATTTCCATTATTAAGCTATGCAGTCATAAAATGCAACATCATGTGACTTCACTGCTTAGTGATGGCAATACCAGGAATGCTTGTTGCCATTGTTAAATAAATCATGTACTACCATTACCTGTGAATTCACATATTTACAATTTGTGAGCTCCCGCTGATTTCCCCATTGACTTTGTTTATCAGAAAGCAGTGAAAGTCACAAATGGCATTCATATAACTATCTGGTAATCCCCCAGATACGAGCATTTATTTAGGGAGATTTCACAAAAACAAGGTTATTCAGAAAGGGTACTTACATTAGAAATTCAAAATTGTGACCAAAAACAGGCCTCTGTAGCCATGTGACTTGGATTCAGTCTCGGCTACTGCGGTGGTGATTTTAACTCTGTAACTTGCTGGGTCAGTTTGAACCAATGAGAAGCCGGAAGTGTGTGGGAGTCACAAGGCCAAACAAGATCTGGTGATTTTTGTAGCTGGCAACGACGATTTGTTTTTGTTTTCCTGGAGCTGTGTGGAAGATCTGCTGCTTGCTGGGCTTGAGGACTACTATAGAGAGCTAGAGTTACTTCTGTAAGTATTTTAAAATATTCTTTTTTGTTACTCTATAGTACTGTACTGTATTGCTTGTAATTACTTTGGGAACTGCTGTGCTTTTTATTGTGTTTGTAGGTACAGTACTCTGCAAGATTGTTTGTTTGCATTTGCCTGAAACTTACAGCATGTGGCTGCTGCTGCCTCATCTCCCTAGCACAGACTCACCTGAGATTCTGCTGATTGGAAGGAAATCCCCCCCCCCAATTTTGGATTTTGCCTGGAGAGATAAGATTAAGGTAAGGTAAGGTAAGGTAAGATAAGATAAGATAAGATAAGATGATCTTTATTGACATTTTTTTGCTGTGGGCACAATGGCACACATCAAAAATGAAATTTAATTGCCTGCTTTCAAAGTGAACACATACATGACACACACCTAAACATATTATATACAACATACAGTATTTTTAAGAATATTAAAAACAAAACGGTGATTGCTGGGTAGACTCATGTTAAATAATAAAATATACGAGCACCAGGAAGTTACAAAACTATAAAACAAAGTTACAAAACTATAAAACAAAGCGATACGAAAGATCGGGAAACAGGATGATACGAACACAATGGAATTCTGGGCTACGGAGACGAACAATGAGGATATAATTGTGAAGGAGGATCGTAGACAGAGAAACAGGGAGAGGAGAATGAAAATAGGGAGTACTAAGAGGGAGGATGAGGGGAATAAACAACATAAACACAGACAGTGCACATTTAACTACATAGAACTAAAGAGTCCCCCCGACTTACAGTCATACGAAGAAGGGAGGAAGAGCTGTGGTATCGGCACAAGCAAGGAAAGTGAGGAAATTACACCTTGCAATACAGAAACTACGATCAAAATGCAGGTGGATTGGCTGGGACCCATGACGAGGTCAAGAAACCGGGCGCAAAGAGCACCACATTTATAAATAGCTTCTCCCATCGACTGGATGCTACCCTGATGATGTTGGCAGAAGCCAGCGAAAGCTTGGTTTTATTCTATTAAAACTTTTTATAGTTTTGTAACTTCCTGGTGTTCGTATATTTTATTATTTAACATACAGTATGTATAGACCCACACCCCTACATATACCTAACAAATAAATATTAAACACTGTCCATCTTGAATATATAATGGAAGGAGGAATCTTGAGAGTTCACAAAGTTAATGCTGTATGGAATGATACTATGGCTGAATCTGGATGTTCTGCTACAGAATACCACGAAGCCTCCTCCCAGAAGGTAACAAGGAAAACAGGCCATGAAGAGGATGTGTAGTGTCCCAGATAATCTTACAGAACCTGCTCAAGCAACGCTTCTGTGCTATGTCCTGGATGTGCTGATCAGGGGCAGTGTTTTTTTTTTAATTGCCGCCAGAAGTTATGGGTATTCCCTCATTGGAGGCTTTTAAGAAGAGACTGGATAGGCATTTATCAGAAATACAGTACAGTACAGGTCTTCCTGTGGTGATGGCGGTGCCGATGGTGGCTTTTTTCAGCCGTCCGCCCTGGAATGTGTCAAAGCCAGCTGAGACAGCGAGCAACAGCCGTCTCGCGGCTTGGAATCTCTCTCTCCGGGCGGGTGAAGGGAAGGAGGTGAGCTTCCCTCGGATAGTGGTAGAGCTCCCTGAGAGACCCCAAAGTTTCTTTCTTTGGAGGTCGGAGGGTGAGAGCTCCCACGGAATCTGAGGTGTTCTCCACATTCCAGGATGCCTTTGCTCTAATTTTTTTTAGAGCAAAGCTAGACGCTGCTTTCACATCTGCTTTCAAAATGAACTTGTGAGTAAAATTTAAAGCAGACAGAGCTGACCAGGGAGATTATATTGGTGATTATTCTGAGACTTTAACTCTGGAAAAGATTTCATCTTCTCTTTCTTCTTATTTGAGAGGGGTGAAAAATGGCGCTGAGATTTGATTTTAAGAGTGAAAGGACCGGAACTTCAATTTGAAACAATGTAACAGCTTTTACAAGATATAAAAATTTTCTTCTTTTTTTTAATATAGGGGGCTTTTGTCTTTTTCCCCCTCCTTTTGTCTCCTTTCTCTCTCTCAATCTCTCTCTCTCTCTCTCTCTCTCTCTCTCTGCTAAACTGTTGAAGGTTTTATAAGATTTTAAGAGTTTTTTCTTTTTTATATAAGTGACAAGATGGCTTCAAAGCATCTCGGAGCTTTTGTTTCTAAAGCCTCGATCTCCTCTTCGGTAATGCAGATAGCCCAGCAAGTCGAGTCTAAATTTCCACCACTTTTTTCAGCTTTACCAGCAGTTTTATCTAAAGACTTACAGGACGCTTTGGAAGATAGCGTACGACGGATTGAAAAAGAGATAGGTGAAATTATTGAAAATAAATTTAGGAAACTGAGAGAAAATATAGCGTCTGTGTTTCAGAAGTTTGTTGATCATATAGATCGTCTGGATCAGCGTATTGATGTTGCTGTAGAAAGTTCTGAAAAATTGGAAGATCGAGTTGATAAAACAGAAAATAAGGTGGAAATAATTCAGGATGAAATTACTATGTTACAATACAGAAGTATGGAGTTTGCTTTAAGAATAAGGGGAATGCAAGAAAACATTCAAGAGGAATTGAGACAAGTGGTCGTATAGGACATAGCTTTTATTTTGGAATCTGAGTCTGAAGAAATATTGAGAGAGACGGAAAAAGTTTTTAGGGTTAATTCAAGGGTTGCGAGGCAGAGGAATCTGCCACGAGATGTGGTTATTTATTTTTCTAGTAGATCACTTCGTAATAAAATTTTACAAGCCTTTTATAAGCAGAGATTTCAAACTGCAGCCCAGGATGTTATACTTTTGAAAGAATTACCTTCAAGAATTCTTAAAGTAAGAAAGCATTTTGTTTTTCCTGGCTGATGATCTTAAGAGGCGACAGGTCCGGTTCAGATGGGAAATACCAGTTGGAATAGCGGTGAATTATGCGAGGATACATTATAGACTTGATACAATTTCAAAAGCGAAAGATTTTTACACTTTTGTTTTGAAGGCGGGCTCTTCATTACCCACAGCTGAGATATTAGAAGAAAAGTTGGAAGAGCAACAGATTGAAGAAGATATGCAGGTTAAACCTCTGCAACAATCTTTCTTGACAGAAGATTCATTAAAGAAGTTGAGTATGACTCGTGTAGCTTTCAGAAGCAAAATAAAGGTGGACTCTTCATTATCCACAGCTGAGACATCAGAAGAAAAGTTGGAAGAGCAGCCGATTGAAGAAGATATGCAGGTTGAACTTTTGCAGCAGTCCTCTTTAACAGAAGATTCATTAAAGAAATTGAGTATGACTCGTGCAGCTTTCAGAAGTAAAATAAAGGAAGGTTTTCCGCCATTTTCTACGCGCTAGACAATAGAAGGAAAAGTTGGAATATCAGCTGGCTAGCTAGCTTTTTTGGGGGGGGAATTATAAAGAGTTTTGTTAAATCTTTGTTATTTAGGGGGAAAAGTTTAAAAGTTTAAAATTATGATCTCTGTTTGGGAGAAGACTTGATAGGTTTTAATTTAGTAATTTAATATTTGGGAGTATTTATAATTTTTAATAAACGTATAAAGATAATTACGATATATTATGATATATTAAAAGTGTATAAGAAGTTGATAGGTTTTGATTTAGGAGAAAAGGTTAAATTTATGATTAATAAATTTACTTGGGTCTGGGGGGGAAAGAGTTAAGAGCCAAGTTTATATTGTTTAAAAGAAATATACATCTCGGGGTGGAGAAGGTGGATAAATTATATGAAGAATAAATATGGGATTTAATGGATAAATTATGATTAGAGTAGATATGATTAAAAGTATCTGGGGAGTGGGGGGGGAGGTTGGGGGGTGGGAAAGTAGGTTAGACAATAGGATTACAGTAAGATAATAGATGGGACAACTTATGAGAGAGATGTTGCTTGGGCATTTCCCCGGCACTGTATCTGAAGAGGGATGAGAGTGGAGGAGAAAGGTTAGGGAGGAAGTAGGACGGTTAGAGGAGAGGGGGAGGGGAGAGAGAGGTGAGGGGAGGTGAGAAAGAGGAGGGAAGTAAAGGAGAGTGTTAGAGAGGGCGGATGCAGTTTGGGGGGGTGGGCAAGCAACACCTAGGTGTATTTATTTTATTTTGTCAAATGTGAAATTTTTTCTTTTTTGTTTATTTAATTGATAAATGAAAAATAAAAACTTTAAAAAAAAGAAATACAGTACAGTACTGTACTTGTGAGAGCAGTGGGTTAGACTAGATGACCTCAAGGTCCCTTCCAATCTACTGTTGAAAGCTGACAGTTCTGTAAACCCCACCCCATCTCCCTCTATATGCCTGCCTGGAGATGCATAAGCTAAAGCTACTTACTTTAGTGGCAACTGAAGAAGCTTGAGCTGCCTAGCAACAAATGGTTGTGGTTTTTGTTTTTTAAAAAAGCCTGCTGCCTGCTTGGGAGGCAGTCTACAGTACTGTAGTTCAGGCCAGAAACAGCCTGCAGCAGCAGCAGCGGGAAAAGTCTCTCAGTTCAGACAGCCATTGGAAGAAATAAGTCAAATCTTCATTCATTTAACAATCCATTTGATTCAATTAATGAGATTGATTTTAAAATGTTGTAATATTGAGTCTGATTCATTTGACAATTATGAACCTATTAGGCATGTACCTCGGGGACTACCTGTATCGTAATTATGAGCTGGTCGCTGAGTGCCCATGGGAATGCTGCAATGGCTACAACTTTGAGGACCATCCATTGTTGTTGTTGTTAATTGCGAAGTCATGTCCGACCCATTGCGACCCCGTGGACAGGGTCTTCCTGTCCTCTACCATCTTCTGGAGTCCATTTAAGTTCTCACCTACTGCTTCAGTGACTCCATCCAGCCATCTCATTCTCTGTCGTCCCCTTCTTCTATTGCCCTCAATCTTTCCCAGCATTAGGCCCTTCTCCAGTGAGTCCTTCTTTCTCATTAGGTGGCCAAAGTATTTGAGTTTCAACTTCAGGATCTGGCCTTCTAAAGAGCAGTCGGGGTTGATCTCTTCTAGGACTGACCGGTTTGAACGCCTTGCAGTCCAAGGGACTCGCAGGAGTCTTCTCCAGCACCATAGTTCAAAGGCCTCAATTCTTTTTGCGCTCAGCCTTTCTTATGGTCCAACTTTCACAGCCATACATTGCAACTGGGAAAACCATGGCCTGGACTATACGCACTTTTGTTGGCAGGGTGATGTCTCTGCTTTTTAGTATGCTGTCTAGATTTGCCATAGCTTTCCTCCCCAGGAGCAAGCGTCTTTTAATTTCTTGGCTGCAGTCCCCATCTGAGGTGATTTTGGAGCCCAGAAAAATAAAATCTGTCACTACCTCCATTTCTTCCCCATCTATTTGCCAGGAATTGAGAGGGCCGGATGCCATGATTTTGGTTTTCTTAATGTTGAGTTTCAAGCCAACTTTTGCACTCTCCTTCTTCACCCGCATCAAGAGGCTCTTTAGTTCCTCTTCACTTTCTGCCATTAGAGTGGTATCATCTGCATATCTTAGGTTGTTGATATTTCTCCCGGCAATCTTAATTCCAACTTTTGATTCATCTAGCCCTGCCTTTCTCATGATGTGCTCTGCATATAAGTTAAATAGGCAGGGCGACAGTATACAGCCTTGCCGGACTCCTTTTCCAATTTTGAACCAATCAGTGGTTCCGTGTCCAGTTCTCACTGTTGCTTCTTGACCCGCATATAGTTTCTCAAGAGACAAATGAGATGGTCTGGTACTCCCATCTCTTTAAGAACTTGCCACAATTTGTTGTGATCCACACAATCAAAGGCTTTTGCATAGTCAATGAAGCAGAAGTAGATGTTTTTCTGGAACTCCCTAGCTTTCTCCATGATCCAGCGTATGTTGGCAATTTGATCTCTAGTTCCTCTGCCTCTTCGAAATCCTGCCTGTACTTCTGGTAGTTCTCGATCCACATACTGCTGGAGTCTAGCTTGTAGGATTTTAAGCATAACTTTACTAGCATGTGAAATGAGTGCAATGGTGCGATAGTTTGAACATTCTTTGGCATTGCCTTTCTTTGGAATTGGAATGTAAACTGACCTTTTCCAATCCTGTGGCCACTGTTGAGTTTTCCAAATTTGCTGGCAAATTGAGTGTAGCACTTTTACTGCATCGTCTTTTAAGATTTTGAATAGCTCAGCTGGAATACTGTCACCTCCACTAGCTTTGTTGTTGCTCAGATTTTCTAAGGCCCATTTTACTTCACATTCTAGGATGTCTGGTTTGAGGTCAGTGACCATCTCATTGTGGTTATCTGGGATGTTAAGCTCTTTCTTGTATAGTTCTTCTGTGTAGTTTTGCCATCTCTTCTTAATCTCTTCTGCCTCTGTTAGGTCTCTGCCATTTTGGTCCTTTATCTTGCCCATCTTTGCATGAAACGTTCCCTTCATATCTCCAATTTTCTTGAAGAGATCTCTGGTCCTCCCTATTCTGTTGTTTTCTTCTATTTCTTTGCACTGTTCATTTAAGAAGGCATTCTCATCTCTTCTAGCTACTCTCTGGAATTCTGCATTCAGTTGGGTGTATCTTTCTCTTTCTCTCTTGCCTTTCGCTTCCCTTCTTTCCTCAGCTATTTGCAAAGCTTCCTCAGACAGCCATTTTGCTTTCTTGCATTTCTTTTTCTTTAGGATGGTTTTGGTTGCTACCTCTTGTACAATGTTACGAACTTCCATCCATAGTTCTTCAGGCACTCTGTCTATGAGATCTAATTCCTTAAATCTATTTGTCACCTCTACTGTATATTCATCAGGAATATGATTTAGTTCATACCTGAGTGGCCTAGTGCTTTTCCCTACTTTTTTCAATTTAAGCCTAAATTTTGCAACGAGAAGCTCATGATCTGAGCCACAGTCAGCTCCTGGTCTTGTTTTTACTGATTGTATACAGCTTCTCCATCTTTGGCTGCAGAGCACATAGTCAATCTGATTTCTATGTTGACCGTCTGGTGATGTCCATGTGTAGAGCCGTCTCTTGGGTTGTTGGAAAAGAGTGTTTGTTATGACCATCGTATTCTCTTGACAAAATTCTATTAGCCTGTGCCCTGCTTCATTTTGTACTCCAAGGCCAAACTTGCCTGTTATTCCGGTTATCTTTTGGCTTCCTACCTTAGCATTCCAATCCCCCATGATGATAAGGACATCATTTTTTGGTGTTAATTCTATAAGGTGCTGTAGGGCTTCATAGAACCGGTCAATTTCATCCTCTTCAGCATCAGTGGTTGGGGCATAGATTTGGACTATTGTGATATTGAATGGTTTGCCTTGGATTCGAATTGAGATCATTCTGTCATTTTGGGGATTGTATCCCAGTATTGCTTTTCCTATTCTTTTATTGACTATGAAGGCTACTCCATTTCGTCTGAGGGATTCTTGCCCACAGTAATATACCTGATGGTCATCTGAATTAAATTCATCCATTCCTGTCCATTTTAGTTCGCTGATTCCTAAGATGTCGATGTTCAGTCTTGTCATCTCTTTTTTGACTACGTCTAGCTTGCCTTGATTCATGGATCTTATATTCCAGGTTCCTATGGAGAAAAAATCTTTACAGCACGGACTTTCCTTTCACCACCAGATATATCCACAGCTGAGCGTCCTTTTGGCTTTGGCCCAGTCGCTTCATTCTTTCTGGCGCTACTAGTACTAGCCCTCTGCTCTTCCCCAGTAGCATATTGGACACCTTCCGACCTGAGGGGCTCATCTTCCAGCGTCATATCTTTTTGCTTTTTAGTACTGTCCATGGGGTTTTCATGGCAAAGATACTGGAGTGGTTTGCCATTTCCTTCTCCAGTGGATCACATTTTGTCAGAACTCTCTGCTATAACCTGTCCATCTTGGGTGGCCCTGCACGGCATAGCTTATAGCTTCATTGAGTTACGCAAGCCCCTTCGCCACAACAAGGCAGTAATCCATAAAGGGGGGACCATCCATAAGTATCATTAATTTAGTGTTACTATAATGGTTGCTGAATAAGTAAGGATCATTTTTATTTGCATTTATTCATTCCCAGAGTATTCTCAATGGAAACAGAAATATACTACAAATGAATTCTATCTTTAACATGTATTGTTCAATCATTTTCTTCAATCCATCAAGTAATCCAAGTGCATACAAGGTTTTTAACTGAACTGATGTTCCCCCTATTTTCTCTTGACTGGAATCTACTTATAATGCTTTAGCAGGTGGCAGCACTTGTTAGATGACCTTGTTTAGTTTGGAAGGTAAACAAGTTCAGACCTGGTTAGTACATAGAAGAGGGAATCCCAAAACAGAAGGCTGGTAAAGGAAGAAGACTACCACAAAACACTTCTGGGCCCTCACCAAGAAAATTATCTGGATATTTCTAGGAATCAAGCTGGAACCAAAGGAAATTTCAGTTTATGTTTGTTACCCTTAACAACTTCCTGCTCTACAGTGTACAAAACTAGACCAAAGTATCTATATCTAGATATATTTCTAAAAGTTTCTAATATTTTTCTTCCCTTAAACATTTCTATTACATTCTAAAGTAACTGATACAACATTCAAAGGAATTATTTCAGCACATAGTGACAGGACACATACCACCTTCTGTCTCATTCTTAAGTGTGGGAAATATCTAGCTATCAGCTTAAATCTAGATATCAGCTTCAGTTTGTACTTTTGATATTTGGGTTTTTTTAATAGAATACATTTTTAATATTGTTAAATATTAAAGTATATGGCCAATGAAACAAATGAAAAAGGGCAACTTCTACCTGAAATTATCAAATTAAGAATTTGGTGGCTGATATATCTTCACTTCTAAAGCAAGAGAAAAAATATTTCTCCCATTCTGCAATGAAATACATTCTTTAAAAGTAAAAACATATTAACTGTATGCTAAATAGGAAACATGTTTCCTATTAACTGTATCTGTTGATAAATCACAGATTCTGTTATGTCTTTTGGAGGATTTCCTTAGAGATCTTTCAAATTCCAAAAGAATATTCCAGATACACAATAGAATTTTACAGATTTCAATCCCTGTGAGTAGAGTGGCAGTCCAACAAGGAATACTTCCTTGTCAATTGATGATTCACAATCATCCCTTCTCAAATACTGGTATTCTAATTATGTCACAGAGGAAGGAAGAGCAATTTTCTCTTGCTCCCCTAACATGTGCTGCAATATACCCCTTTTCTCATTTTACTATGAATAGATCATTTCTCATGGCCCAGGACTCAGACTGAATCTGAAGAAGCTGCTCCAGTGGACTCTGTGGAATATCAGCCTCAGGAAACAAAGCCAAAAATCACCTGAGATTAATTCAAAAACGACCATCTGAACAGCTGGAGCAGTCAAGTGATGATGATGTAAGGCTTCCAAGCCTTTGCACCAGTGAGTATAGCAAAGAGCAAAGCCAAAACATTTCATAAGATTCCTTACCAAGCAAGGGAATAAATCCCTTGATTAAAATTAGTGGCTACAAGCAGCCCTGACCCATGATCCCTCATTGGAATCAACCATCTGATTTTGGCTCGTGTGATGTTCCATCTGGATTCTGCTCCTGAAATTCTGACCCTTAGACTGGCTGATACCCTTAACTAAATTTTAGATTTTTAAAATTAGATTTTGACTATTTTTGTTTTGCATGTTCCAGTTAAAAACAAAACTATTCAGGCAAGCTTTTTTCATAGGTTCTGGTTTGGTTTGCATTCCTTGTGTGTTATCTCTTTGTCTTTGAATAAACTACTAATTTTCAAAGTAAACATATGTTAAAATGTGTCATTGAAACCAGAAGAAGGACACCATTAACTATGGAAATGTGACAGGAATGGACTTTTTCCTTGGCCACCCAAGAAAATTTCAAGGTCCCAACAGGAAGCAATAACAACAACAATAGCCACTAAGAAGGGACAAAAGGCAAAAAACACTGTCATACCATTGATCAGAGCAATGAAGAAGTAATTTACCTGCCATGGATTCTTCCTGCTATGTAACAGATTGCTCTGTTGATAAAAATTAAGATCTATCAGACTACATTGGTCTTTGAAGCAGGCACTAGTTGAAGTGTTTATACATTGTAGTTTGTAGTCCTAACTCTTCTTTGGTAAATTCAAGATGATCTATACCAGGGGTAGGCAACCTTGGCTCTTTTATGACTCGTGGACTTCAACTCCCAGAATTCCTGAGCCAGCATAGCTCAGGAATTCTGGGAGTTGAAGTCCACAAGTCATAAAAGAGCCAAGGTTGCCTACCCCTGATCTATACTGTATGTGTTTCAGCACACATTGTTATGCATTACTCACTTGGGAATAAATTCCCTTCACTAAATGAGCTGATCTATCAGGAAACATACTCAGGATCAGACTGCAATATATTGGACCAATTGGACCCTATGCAATGATATTGTTCCATCTATTGCAAATATCAATTAAAATATAGGATGGATGGAATTATTTATGACAAACAATTGAATAGTCTGATAGAATAACCAGATTAAGCCAGCCATTATGTGGATCTGTATTACTTTTCAAAAAATAATTTTATAGAAAGGTTTTGCAAAAGTGTAGTTACAAAAAGCAAGTCATGTCTTTTGATGTTGCATTTGTCAGAGACTGCATAAAATCCCATTGCTGGGACTGTAATCTTACACTGATTTTTCAAATTTCAAGTAAAAGAAGCAAACATTACAACACCTCTCCCACAAAGATATATGCATTTTAATAATTATGAAAGTTTATTCTGAAGAAACATTAAAGTGACTAATATCACTAATTTGTCTTTCTTTTTACCTTCAGTCTTCACTATTGTAGCTTATTTAATGAATAGGAAAACACTGAATTTGTCTAGGAATTTTCCAGACAAATAATTGCACTTAATTCTGCTGTTCAGTCTGTGGCTTTATGAATTCTTGTCCCTTATCAGTTCCACCAGCTGTACAAGGGCAACCCTAAACATCTATCTTTTACAAAACATTTTTTATGACTGTGAGAAGATCGTTTGTTTATAGCTGGAAACCAAAATATTAATGTACTCAGATATTTGTAGTTGCTTTGTTACCAATATAATGGCATCCACTATCACTTGGCGAGTTAATCCTGTTAACATTTCCTATTTGTCTAGGATTCACACACACGTGTGCGTGCATACGTACACACAAAAACACAGAATAGGATGTGAAAAATGCAAGCATCCATTGTCTTCATGTTATTTCTGTTTTTTCCTTAAATTAAAAAAACTTGTTCAAGTTTCAGATTTTAGAAATGAGAATATAAGGAAAGAGAGGAAGGTTCTTTTTCATAAATGATTTCAGATTTCAGGAAAAAAAATACAGTGAGATATCCATTTTTTGTATGGAACAATTGTTGATTTTGCTTCTGGACAACATAAGATAATTTACTCATAGCTTATCAAATTTCTACATTGATAAACATTCTTTCATAGTGGAAATGTTAGGAATATTTCTAAATTCTGTATTATTATTTCATTCGATTGTTTTAGTAACAAATTACCAAAATGTTTCAATTATATATTAAAAACAATGTAGGATATCAATCTTGCTTGGGTTAGGGACGCCAGAACAGTTTGGTGACCAATGGAAAGATTGCAGTTGCCATCAATAAAAGGAAAGGCCTCGATTTTGTTTTGTTTTGTTTTTTAGCAATTTTTGTAGGGTATCTAAAAATTTGGAGATCTTAGTTAACACACCTTCTCAATAACTGACCTTTACCTTTGAAAATTGATAGTAAAATAGCTGAAGTATGATGTTAGGCTAATGTATTAGTTAGGAAGAGTGTTTTAAGGATTGGAAATGGGACCAGTTTTTCTTGTGGAAGCCTTCTCAGTCCTTACTGGGAAAAGAAAAGAAAATGCCACTAAAAAGACAAATTTTTTTCCATTTAATACCAGTAGTGCTACAATTGGAAAGGGAAGATAAATCAATATTAACGCAGTCCTGTATTTCACTTGGAAATGAGCATTGCCGCTCATAACATTACTTTGGGGTAAAAGTGTTTGTTGTTGAGCTGTAAGTGCTCCTAGGTGATGGTTACTATCATTTTTGTTATTACCACTATACCATTTATATACTATCCAACTCCCTTTCTGTAAAATTTAATATTGGTCAGGAATTAAAAAGTGTTACTCAGTGTTAAAAATATACACAGAGAGATAAATCCCATTTAGAAGATACAAACAAAAGTCTAGGAGGTAAAAAAGATCCTAGGGTACAAAGTTTTATTTAATCTGGTTGTTGATGATGTAGTTTTGAACAAAAATATTAAAAAGTGAAATAAAATTCTTTTCTTTTGTTTTGCTACAGGATGAAAAGAATAAATTTTAGTTCTCCTGTTAAGGAACTTTTTTTTAAGATGAATCCTGTCACATATTCAAATTTAGAGTATGTAAATTCAAATACAAAGAATATTTTTATAATTGCAATTATTACATCTTGCTTAAATATTGCTCTAGTATGAGTACAAACCATCTAGTAAAAATATCTGGAGCTGGCTTGCCTGTAGAATGTTTGTTATCAGTGTAACTTTGCCTATCAACAGAATTCAAAAAGCTTTTCTGCCTGAAGGATATCCTGCTGATTAGGAAGATAAAAAAGATCTTGTTATTAAGAGAGAATGACATAGAATATTGGTTCAAATACTTGACTTTTGTATTTGTTTTTGTGTTTAGCCCTAATATATTATTTTTATTTTGTAGCACATTCTTGGGGTCAAATCTTTCCCTATAATAGTAAATCTGCATAAGCAAAAGCCATTCTTAATGTAAATGGCTGTTATTTATAAATCAAAACAATATATATATAACAGTGTCCTCTTCTGAATAATCTAAGGCATATAGCCTAGGAGAATAGGACAACAGGCCAAGACTTTATAATTGAAAGTCTCTTGAATCTTGTCACTTACTATGTCCCATAGTATTTTTTGAGGAAAGTATGGAAATAGTTTGCCACTGCTTTTCTCAAGATTATTTTATCTTTAAATTGTATAACCGGCCAGTACTTGAAGATGTGTTTAACATTATGAAAGCTAGAACATATTTAATGTAACTTATAATTATTTGAATATTATATAGGATCAGATCCTCACTGGATCTTAAGGGTTGTTGTTGCTTTTCTTAATTGCAAGAGTTGCATTGTTATGCCACAAGAATCAGAATCAAATCAATTTAAAAACATTTCTTCTTATAAATAGCTTTAGAGATGAACACCTTTTTTTTTTTTTTTTTTGCTGTATAGCAACTTTCTAGCCTAAGCTGCTGAAGGCCATGTCAGGATTGGCTGTGAAGTTTCCCAGATTTATGGTTCTGAAGGACTTCAACTGCCATACCTGAGGTAGACCCCTGAAGCAGCCAGAAAGTTCATGGCCTCCACGATTGGGCTTATCCCAGATCATTCTTCATCCAACTCAAGACAGTGGCCACACTCTGGACATGATGTTCTTGTTGGAGCAATGGTAATGTGATCTAAGAGAGGAATTTTCCTTGGCCTCTGTCATGGTCAGATCACACCCTAGCGATTTTGAGATTCTCTTGTACTAAGCCCTCTACAAGGACACTGAACATATTTGACTAGTCCACCCACCAGTAGCTGATGGATCCAGTTGGGTTTCAAAGGAGAAATACTACTCACCTGTTATACAGTCCTGTGGAGGCCCGAGTGGCTACCTGAAACAGAACTGTTACGACAGCACCTATTGAGCTTTGCCCAATGCTCTTGTTATTCCCTGTGGTTCATGGAGAAGTTGAGAAGCTAAAAGGGATCAAGAGACTCCTAAAGCACCATTGGAAGAAAATGAAGAACTAATTTGACCAAACATAAGCTAAACCGCTATTGCCTACTTCATGGCGGTAAGAGTGGAGAAGTGCCAATACTTCTCCACTCTTATTGCATCCAAAGAATACCACCCAGTGATCCTGTTTAGGGTTATCCAGACTCTCCTCAGAAAGGGAGCTCAGAGATGCATCTGTACAGCTGCGCTAAGGAATTTTCCATGCATCTGGAAGATAAAATTGCCCAATTTTCATTCCCAGTTGCATACCAAGTGTGATACAAGTCCTATGGATATACCTGGAGAGAAGACTTACTCTGAGAAAGCAGACAGATCTTCCAGAATGTTAATGCATCCATGTGTCAGACCTATGTCTCTCCTAGCTGGTTAAGGTCCCCAGAAGATATCATGTAGATAGATCCAAGTGATGTGAATTCATCCTTCTTGGAAGAGATGTTCCCGGTTCCTTTTTAAAGAGAAACTGCTATGCCCCTTTTCAAGAAGCCATCACTGGATAATAGTTCTGGATAATTGTTCTGGACAATTTTTGTACAGTCTCCCACCTTCCCTTTTTAGGTAAGATGGTTGAAAAGGTGGTGGCATTGTAACTCC